TTTTTCCCACATGATTCATTGGTCAATACCAAATTGATGGAGATAAATTGATTTTAACACATTTAATTACATCTATTGCCAGGAAAAAAATTTAACATTATAAAATTACTTGTTATACTTGTTATTTTTAAAAGCTAAAAATATCAAATTGGCATAGAGAACTTCTTCATCTTTTCCTTTTTTAAGCACAATTAAATGATAAAATAACTTTTAGAATAAAAAAAATATTAAACTAGCATGTAAGGGGTTTTTTTCATTTTCAACTTAGTTTTTGGCTATAATCAAATTGAAAAAGGAATAATTTAGTATTTTAATAAATATAAATATTATTTAAAAATAATAATTGGCGCGTGCGGGTAGGAAATATCCACGCCATTTGAGGAGCACATTAGGCATCTTCTAGTGGTTGAATGGTGGCTTCCTAGGCGGCGTTCGAATCATCTCGGATGCTTCTCTATTCCTGAGTGGTGCATGTGAAAATTGAACTTTTAGTTTGACATCGACAACCTTTTTTTTTTCTTTTTTTTCTCCCTCTTGACTTTTATGTCTATCCCTTTAATTTTTCAATGCAATTATTCAATTTGACTTTTCTTCGAATTTTATCCTCAATATTTTTATTAATATTTATTTTATTTAAAATAATTTATAAAATTAATTGTTTTAATTTTATCCTCCTTTAATTTTTTTAATCTATAATAATATTTGGTTCCCAATTCTTTTTATAGTTATTTGTTTTTAATCATTTTCTTGATTTATCTTATATTTCAATTTTATCCCTTATTTGTTTTATTTCATTTAATTTTCATACCAGTTTTAATACTCATTCTTTTAATTACTATTTTTTTTTATTATTGTCCTAGTTTATTTTATTTTTCAATATTGTCCTTCATTGTTTGATTTTATTTAACTTCTATACCAAATTTGATTCTCATTCTTTTGATTGTCATGTCTAATTTTTTAATTTTGGATGATTAAGAAATTTATTTCGTGATTTTCTCATGTTTGCCTTGTATGAGGTGACCTAGTTTCATGACTCAAGTTTTAAGTTTCAACTATTAGCTCGGTTTGACTTTATTTTTTTAATTTATTATTCAAGATTAGGTTATTGGGTCTTCAGTCTTGTGATTTTTGCTGTTTTTATTTTATCGGATTATCTCGATCTCATATCCTAAGTTATATATTAATCTAGTTAACTCGGGTTTTTTTTTATTTTTTTAATTGATTTTTTTCACTTCTGTGTTTCATTATTTAGTTTGATTAAAATTTAAATTTTATTTTTTTATTCAATTTTTTTTGTATGGGGTTGTCTGGACCTCACAAATGGGCTGTAAATTAGACATGTTGATTTGAGTTAATTTTTTTATCCCTTTTTACAATGGATTTGTTTTGAATTCGTTCTTCTAATCTTTCATTTGCTGATAATTGAGCTTTTTCTTTCCCCCTCTTCTTTATGAGGCTATTCTATTCTCATTCAATTTATGCTTTGTTATTAAATAAGATTGTTAAGTTTTTTTAAAAATATTTAGAGGGTATCATTCAATTTAAGATTCTTTTAATTATCATTGGCTTTTTTATCAAACATATTATGAAATTAATCAAGATTATTGAATACATTGAATTAATGACAGGGTCCCAAATTTATTTTGCTCCTTTAAAAATGCTATTATTTGCCAAGTAATGTTTTTATATTAAGAAAAAATTGACTTGTTGCAGAGCATAATGCTACCACCTATCTAATATTATCTAATTATTCACGTATTAAACATAAAAATGCTAGCTAAACACATACCATGAATGATACTTGGTAATCTAAAAAGATAAGATTCTTGACTTTACTTATCTTTACTTTTGAATCATTTTAATAACTGAATTGCTTTATAAAAAAAAAATTAATTGAAAATAATTTCTAACTTGATCATTTCATTCATCTATTTTTGTCACCATCTACAATTTCATTTCTCATGCGAAATTTAAAATTCTTAAGATATGCAGTTGTATTTTTTTCTTAGAAATTAACCATAAATTTATTTAGGGTAATTTTTGTATACCTAAACTAAGCTCTTTCAAAATCTAGTTTATAATAAATTAATACTTTAAAATGTATGGAGAAAGTACTGTAATTTTTATTATATGTTTTTTTTGTTTTTTATATATTTTTATTTTTAAAAATTATTTTTATCAATTTTATTTTTTTAATATTGAACTGGTTAAGAATTTAAATATATAGTTTTTTCTTTGAAACATTGTTGATTACTATAGTGTTTTCCCATATGGTTTTCGTTTTGCTAAAGTGTTTTTTCAGTGTTTTTCCACGTGTTTTTTTTAAATTATCTTTGTCAAAAAACAATTTAATATTTAGCAAGTTAAGAATTTAGTTTTATATTTTTTGTCTTTAAAACATTATAGATTGTATTAGTGTTTCCCCATATAGTTTTTATGTTTTTTCTTATAATTGTTTTTTAAATTATCTTCGTCGAATTTATTTTTTTAATATTGAGGTGGTTAAGAATTACAATTGTAGTTTTCTTCACAAAATATTATGGATTGCTATAATATTTTTTTACATGGGATTGTTTTCTTTTTTTATATGATTTTTTTTCAAAATAGTCTTTATTGCTTTTATTTTTTTAGTATTAAGTTGATTGAAAATTTAGTTTTGTACTTAAAAAACATACTATGAATTACTATAGTTATTCTCCACATGAATTTTTTTATGATTTTTTTAAAATTATCTTTGTTAATTTATTTTTTTTAATATTGAGCTGGTTAAGAATTACAACTGT